TTTTATTAAACCATTGGTTTATATAAAAGAAAACCTTGGGTTACAACTATAAAAACCGTGGTTTGATCCTTTTATCCTCTGGCTCAATATTTTCTTGGTTTAAATAAAGGGCTCTGCCTTTGTGCACTCCAAAGATTCCCCCCATGTACACCAGAAAATTTGAGCAATCCAAAGAATCCCAGAGAATCCCAGATTTACTTGGAGTGCACACCAAGAGGGGAAAAGTTGAATAATTTTAGAATACATGGTTGCAAAGAACCATGTATTCCACATATATGCACTCATGTGAATTTGGAGTGCATGGGCATGTACAATTTTAACTGCCCAGGTATTTCTGGGTGTTTCAATCCAGCTGACTCCAAATTATCTGGAGTGCACAGAGCTTCCCTTCCAAAATTGGGGATGTTTTCTTAGCCCTTGGGCTGATAATCATATTATAAATAATTCATGGTCTTTTGGATTCATGGCCTTTTTGATTTGTGGGACCAAACAGAAAAATATGTTGTTGTGTAAATTTTGGACACCTTAAGGTGCAGCTCAACAGAGAGGGAGAATTTTCATTTACTTTTGGGAATCCACACTCACCTGCTTATACACAGTCAGGCCCTTCTTGTGTGATATCAGCCCAAGGGTCTAAGAAAACATCCCCAATTTTGGAAGGGAAGCTCTGTGCACTCCAGATAATTCTGAGTCAGCTGGATTGAAACACCAAGAAATACCTGGGCAGTAAAATTGTACATGCCCATGCACTCCAATATTCACATGAGTGCAAATATTTGGAATACATGGTTCTTTGCAACCATGTATTCCAAAATTATTCAACTTTTCCCCTCTTGGTGTGCACTCCAAGAAAGTCTGGAGTGCATTCAAGTGCACTGCAAGAATCATGGAGTGCACAACACTTTTTGACCACTGGTTTAATTGTTTGAAACCCTTGGCTTGAATATTTTACACAATTGGGTTAAATCTTTAACCTTTGTTTTGTATCTTTGAATTTTCTAAAACTCCTGGCTAAATGAAAGTGGTCACAGCATCCAGCAGTCAGAATTCACACAGCAGGTAACTCATCCAAATCAATTTCCATATTTTATACAGTGCCCTCACGATCATTGGTACTACACCTCTGGGCCAGCTCATATTTTGTCCTCTTCCAATGATCCCTTTCCCTTTCTTTGCTTTTGAATAACATTTTATAATACAACACAAGTGATTCTATGTACATACACATTCAGTTACAATCTAATTCATGTTTTATGACACTCATGCACCAAGGACTCACATCCCAAGAGCTGCCTTAATAGAGGGTCGAATCATTACCAGATTACCCCCAGAGGACAAAAAGTCCATCTTTTTTATCCTTTTATCTTATGGACTTGTGGTTATAGATTTGGTTTCTGCTACTTATGTAGGACCCAAACATGTATATTGCGGTATGTAGCCCTTTTTGAGCTGACTATCATACAGGCAAAAGCTCAACAGAATTTTTGCAGGTGAGGTGTTACACAAAAGAGGGTCATGGCACTGTTGGATGGTCATTGCATTCATCTGGTCTGAAAGAGTAACAATGGAGTGACTATACATAAATAAAAGGAAATGAATTTTCAAGTAGGAAGCATTGATGATTGGACTGGGGCTTTTGATTTATTAATAGATACATTCAAGTTATACTCAGCCCCCGCAATGTGCATGTCTTTCCGGTTATCAAATTCGCCTCCAGTTATCCGGTCCGATATGTTCACCATTTTTGCAGATATTTGTAAAGACAAACCCAATCTTGAGAATGCGGAGGGTTCTGAAGGAGCCAGAGTGCAATGAGAGTATTCACGTTGGCTGAAAATCATTTGACACATCGTATTTGGTCGGAACTTGATTCCAAATTGACAGTCACGGAAAATGAAAGGCCCTTCTGTTACGTCGTATTCGTCGGCTCCATATGCAAGGAGACCTGTTTCCTTCGAGATTGGCAGGGAAAGGAGAAAGGCAAATGGCAGGGAGGCATGGTCGTTTTTGTCTTTGTGTGGATGATTGAAAAAACCATTTGATGTGAAAGTCAAGTTTGAGGAGAAGAACTCTTTGGACGGCTTGGATTTTTCATTTGGAAATTCGGCCTCGTAGAACCCCGGGATATTGTGCTCAATCATAAATTGTTGGTTCTTTTCGAGGGCAATGTTGCCAACTGGATGAAACAAATCCCAAACGATTCGGCCAGCCCTCTCCGCATCGTCCAGAAACAGAAGATAATCTTTCTTATTTTTCTTGATAGCGTCCCGGTTCCGATATATGCCAACAATTTCCAACTTCGTCATCGATTTTCGCCAACCAATCGCCCACATCTTGCCCGCGCACAAACGACTGGGTGAAGAAACCGGATTGACGAAGCGTTTGGAGTCTTGCAGAAATTTGCAGAGGAAGTTTATATCGCCAATTTGAAGGGGGGTCAGTTTGGTGAGATCGGTAAAGTGAATGGCGGCGATAATCTTGTCTTTGACCTTTGGATCACTGTTGTCGAAGACGGTAACATGACCATGGTCATATAAATCAAATGAATCGTTGACTTGATCGTAAGCCTGCTTGATCTCCTCAGGTGTAGGCTTCCTTTCGTAGATCGTAGTGTCAGGGGGCTGAGGTCCAATTTTATTTGCAAAATTCTCCTGGGCAATACGGCGCTCTTCCTTCCTAAACTCGAACTCTCGTGTAACTTCAGGGTACAGAACAAATCGCTTCGGTATCCTGCGAGAAATAACGAAGGGACCTTGGAGCGGCAGGTTGGCCAGATGAGATCGGATGGCTTTGACACAAGCATTGCGTCTCCTCTTAGGCCGATGTTCTTGAGACTTTCGCTTCCTGTAAGCCTTCTGGTAACTGATGCAAAGTTAAACACAGTTCAGGCATTAGCAAAGTCTTTCAAGCAGGAGTTCAAATGTCTCAATAAAGATACCCACGATGACTTGTTCTTTGATTCCTTATTGACGAGGGTTTTCAAAGGCTTTTTGCTGGTAGTCTGATGATTCGGAGCTTGACGCAAGACAGTGCCTTCATGGGATACCTGATCTTTCAACGATGCAATCGGTTGGTCATCAGAATCAGAGCTGATGCTTAATTCTGTAAGGGTTGATGCGAGGTCGGATAGTGAACGCCGATGTATCATATTCCCTGGAGTTAAATCGGAGACCAACTCAGAGGAGTTCGTAGCTTGGTTCAAGTTGTGTTTAGTCATTGCTGGATTTAGATCGACCGAGTCAGAGGTGTCCGTTCGTCGAGTCAGAGCTGTTCGTTCGTCGCTTGGTTCAAGTTGGTTTTAGTCAAGTCTGGATTTCGATTGGAGAGCGAGAGGTGTTCGTAGTGGTTCAAGTTGCTTTTGCGAAATCTCATGTAAAAAAAAAAAAAAAAAATTCCGGTGGGGCTGCGGAAGGAGTTACCCCACCCACATTTGGATTAGTCATCACTTCCTCCTCCTTAAATCGAGTTCAACCCCTACACGCCAAATCCCTTCCTCATCTCTCCCGAACCAGACAACATGATATTGCATTGCCGTGCTTGGTGGCAAAGCTACGATTGTTGTCTATTTAGTTCGGGAGGGTCAACTCACTGAACTTCTTACTTGTATATCTCTCGGAATATGCTCAACAAGAGATCGAAAATTGGTTTGATTGTAAGAGTGATATCTCATCTGACTCCATCATGAACCCCTCCCCCCCAGCTCAAACCGAATACGATCCTGATCCTGATTCCTGTAAAAGTTTGTAAAGGTTGTCCTCCATCTACCACCATCCCTGATCAACTGGCCCACCAAAAGCCAACCGCTACCCATTCTCAAGATTGGATCGCACTCATCGAACATGGCGACTTATTCGTTGATAAGGGCCGATATCCTCAAAACTCAGGCCCCCCAGGCGTCGTCGTCTGTGACTGGCAACAATCACCAACGATATCATCATCATCCATTCTCACTCTCACCCATATTCTCTCAACCAACCTCTGGTCTACTCACGATCTACGTTCCAGCAGATACCAGCGATCTCACCATCCCAACGGTCTTCGTAGCTAGAGAAGAGATAGCTATCTGAGTCTAAGGCAGGATTGGAAAGAATTCTCGGCCATCTCTGACCAACCATTTCCGCATCAACCTACTGCCGATCTAGATCATCTTCAATCAACGGAAGTCATTATTCGGTTGGTCGTCTATCCTGGGCCGAGATTAATCCAATCATCAACGACCCTGAATCCTTCAAAGAGGATGACGAAGAGTTTTCTGCCACATTTCGCAGGTCGAAGCTACCGGGCTTGGGTGTGGATCACCCCGACAATCTTCTTGTCCCCGACAATCTTCACGTCGTCCAAGAGCGGACGCTTGGGCAAGGCATTTGGCAACTCGATGGACACTCGACTTGCTCTTTCTGGGATCACCGCTACCGCTCGAACTTCAATTACCCGGCTATTGTCCGGTGCTGCTTGGCTGTAGAGAATCGCAGCGATCGGTGTCCTGAAATCGGCAGCACACACGAAACACCTCATGATGTTCCTGGCGAGGACAAATGGCGGCAAGGAATCAGACACATCGTCGTGAGGATCAGAGGAGAGCCATTGGGGAGTCATGTTCGAGCCAGTTGACGCAGAGGCCCAGACTTTTTTGGCCCACAGTCCTTCCGTGCTCATCCATCGGCGTCCAGGCCGTCCACATCCGTCCGATCTCTTCCTCGCCCCGATCCACGTCCCTCCGCCGGGCCCAGTCGCTCACAATCGTCAGTCTCGGCGGCTGCATCAATGGGTATCCCTTTGGCAAGCGTGCCACTGAATCGACACTCTTGACTCCCAAACCAAATCCAAAAAGGCTTGCTCCTTTTGGGATTTGGTTGTGTAGGTAACATCCTCGACATCGTACATATCCGGAAGCGCGAAAATCGAGTCTATCCATCAACTCGAACGTTGAATCGGTGCATTCGAAGCACGCCTGATCTAGCACCGATCCTCAATGATGTCAAGTTTAAAAGCATTCGAAGATGTCTACACCGATTTCTTCTCAACGTGGGCCCACATTTCAGCTTTTTTTCCCCGTTGGATCGATCACTCATCTTCATCGTCAACATGTCACCAAGCTGATGTTTCTTTTTCCGCCTGGCGTTTAAATGTGAACTTCAAAAGTGGGGATTGGACGCTCGATTCTTCAAAACAGCTGGAATAAATCATCGACCTACTCGTGAATTGGCTGTTCAAATCTTCGAGGTGCTCAGGTCGATCGGTGAATTTCATGCCTTCAGCGCCGGACTAGTCATCGGTGGGAAAAGTTTAGAAGACGAAAGGGATCGACTCGGAAGAATGAACATCCTGGTTTCTACTCCCGGCCGTTTACAGCAACATCTCGAACAAACCACCAACGTTGATTCTGATAACCTTCAGGTCTTGGGTATGTCGCATCTTCCTTCCCTCACTGCCCGTTGATCTATCCAAGAAACTTTTGTACTCATGTATCACTCTCCATCACAGTTCTCGATGAAGCCGATCGAATCTTAGATATGGGCTTCGCAAATTCAGTCAATGCGATCATTTCCAGTCTACCCAATTCAAGACAGTCACTTCCATTTTCCGCGACTCAAACCAAGACTGTCAAGGACCTCGCACGATCATCTCTAACTGGAGATCCAGAATACGTTTCGGCTCGTGAGACGGGAGTTGAACGAGATCTTACCACACCCAAAGAACTCGTACAGAGCTACATGGTAACACCGCTGGAATGTAAAATAGATTATCTTTGGGGTTTCTTAAAGACTCATCTCAAGACGAAAATGATAGTGTTTTTGAGCAGCTGCAAGCAGGTATGATTCCTTCCTTTTCAATATTCTTCCTCTGAACCCGAAATTTCAAATCTTCGCAGCAACGTATCACTGTGAAAGGCCAATCAGTCTGTTCTCCCCTGGTCGAACGCGATCTCAACCCTCGTCAAAATAATAGCAACGTTCCTAGGGACGCTTCCTCCACAACTTCCACCCTTCACAAATCCTCTTTCTACCTAATTTTACCGCTCTTCGCCTGCCTCTTGTTGGCGCTCTAATCTCATCGTCATCGAGCCGTACCTCCCTCTACCGCCCCCCGTATTAGCGTTCTTTTTTGTTATTCGATCATCACATAATGTAGGATGCTACTACCAACCCCTCGTTCATTCTGGCAGCTGTCACAAAACCGGCTTACGCCAAGCTGATTGATGTTATTCGAATGATGAATGGGACCTACCAGCCGACCTTCGAGACAAGATTATTGGTGTTCGATGGGGTATTGGAATGATGAGTGGGAGCTACGAGCCAACCTTTGCCATAAGATTATGAGTTCAGTACAAACGTTTGCATACATTTTTCCTTTCTCTCTACATTTGACCCCGTATCTTCTCCCACCACTTAACAGATTGATCTGCTTTCTCAGGGACTATAGATTGACTTTGGCGAATGCCTCATTCGATGGCGAAAGTCCAGCCTCAAGAATGGAACACTCAACCTAGCCATTGCATACATCATCCTGGAGAGACGGGTCCAGCCTCTCTTCGCCCGCCAACACCTGCTCTCAACCAACCCTGCTACTGGCCGAAAGATTGAGTGCAAACAGGAACATCTGTTCGATACCAGGTCGGATTTTTCAACAATTCTCAAAATGAGTCACCCTCAAGTCTATCCTGTTGCCCGCGCTTCTTCATGTTTTTTGCATTGTCCGCAAAGGATCATCCCCCACAACTTGTACCATACATTGGAGATTGAAAAATTTATGTTTGAGTTGTCTACTGTGTATTTGTGTTGCTAATCACCAAAAAACAACCAATACTCGAAAAGAAAATAAAGCATCACATGCATCCATTAATGCTGAAGATTCACATTGAAATCTTCTGGCAAAAATCTCCTCCCAGCTTGGTGGATCGGTACTATTCGCCCAAATAATTTTCCCTTGGTGGGCTTATATACCCATGATTTTCGGAGTTGCATATTCATATCAAGGGGGGGGGGGCTCAAGAGGCCACCCTTGTGTTTGTTGAGTATTGTGGTCAGGGTCTCCCTCGGGTGAAGAGGTGACGCTCAGACAGGCAAACTTGAACATTTTCACTTTTTCTTCTCCTATATCACAAATAAACATCTTTTTTCCAGAACATATCTAATTGTGCCCCGTTGCAATGTTCAACCCCCATGCCCCCCAACAGCAACTGGCCGGCGGAAATCTAAACCCTCAGTATCAACCAGCAAACACCTCCAACCACCCGATAAACTCAGGGCAGCAAGCTCAGGCCTCATATCGATCCCAACATAGAGTCTATGTCGCCAATATCAATCATCAAAGGCCTAGTCCATCCCCGAGTCACCCTCAATCTCAGCAAGGCATCTACACATCTGATATCCATCATCAAAGGCCTAGTCTGGCGCCCAGTCACCCTCAAACAAACTACCTGATGAACGAAGGACGGCCAAATCAAAATCCAAATCAATCTCAGCACAGTGTCCATCATCAAAGACCTAGTCAGTCTAACCACCCCATGAACGCAGGACAGCAAGCTCAGGCCCCAACCTATGTCGATAGCAGCCATCGTCAACGACCTGGTCCGGTGGCGCAACTGAGTCGCTCTCATGGTCTTCAACCACAGCCAGTCAATCCTGTGGTCCAGCCACGGTTGCATCATCAAACCCATCACCCCAACCCATTGCACCACACTCAGCAACATCCTACCCCCCCACGAACGGCATTATTGGCACCTCATAACCAACCGTCACAAACTCAGCCCATTTTGCCAGGTCATAGAAGCGTACTCGGCCACACTGTCAATCGACCGAGCTCTTCGCAACCTCAGCACCATGTTTCATCACAATTGCCATACCAAGCCACCAATCTACATCAGCCCACCACTGCCACCGTCCAAATTCACCAGGCCACCACCAACTCTCGCCAGATCCCTGCGGCTCCCTCACGTGCCACCACTGCTAGTATCTCCCGCCAGACCACTCAAGCACCCCCACCAAGAATCCAAGTGTCAGCTCTTCCAAACCTTCAAAGTGAGCTGAAACGTGCCTTAGATGCCAATGCAAAGGCTGCGCAAGCCCAAGCGGCCAAGGTAGCAAAGGCGGCAGCCAGGGCTGATGCCAAAGCTGCAGCCAAACAGGCAGCAGCGGCCAAAGCTCCACCCAAACGGGTTACTGGTAAGTGATTTCGGATTCTTGATTGAATTATCCATGATTGTACTCACCATTTAATCATGTCACATATTCAGGCACAAGTGTGAGTACCCTGGAGGCCAACCGGTCGCAGGCTGCCAATCAAAACACAGACTCAACCACGGGGAATACCTCCACTTCTGGAGCGAATAAGTTTGCACCGGCGCCTCCACCCCAAAACCTGTCTAACCCAACCCCTCTGAAGCCAGCCGCTTTGCCCATAGCCGACCTTGACTTTTCTGGACTGCAGTCACGATCGCCATCCCCCACCCTTCCCACGGAGGTGCCAAGTCCACAGGCTCAGGCTCTTGGGGGTGAAGCAGCTGATCTGGAAGGAGTCAATCCGGAGACCGAAGATCAAAATGACAGTGATATCTTTGATGATGATCCAGGTGACAACGAACATGTCCACCACCCAACCAATCAAACAAAGAGAAGAAAACTGGCCCCCGAGCTTGTACGTCAACTGTATAAAATGGAGTTGGACGAGCTGAAGACCAAGGTATCAAAACTTGGAATCTACAGACGACTAGTCGCCAAAGAGAAAGCCGACTTTGATGAAGCATACGAAGAATATCAAAAGCATATACATCGGATTGCCTGTACCAATCTACTGAAGATCGAGGCCGTTGAGGCCTATTTAGGGCAAGGTAATCGAGCACGTGGGAGTTCATCGTACAACAACTTTGTCCGATATAATGAGGAAGCTCGACAGATCAAGGCTGATAGTGAGTGGGATACATACCTATATCTTGATTGCTTGTCTATGCTGACGTGTTCTTGATAATTGGTTTCTATCTCAGAGAGCATCTCAATGGGACAGCGTTGGTCCAAGTGTGGTTTACTGTGGAATTCGCAGGACCCCGAGACCCAACTGAAGTACAAAGACCCAGCATTCTTAGCCACTTTGCCTAATCCTTTTGTCGAGCCTGATCCTCTTGTTGAGCAAGGCTTGTCAAGCAATGCAAACATTCCAACGACAACAGCACCCCCATTGGCAACAACATCGTCATCAAAACCTCAACGCAAGTTAGCTAAAACAAGCAAGTTTGATGCCAACCGGTGGGCCAACAAGATCCGAACTGATGTAGGTTGTTTGTTCCACTGCCACTTGGGTCTCATTGACAACAATCACTGACTTTTACTTTAACTAGCTGTCACATCTAAGCAATTCTCACTCAATTCAGGGCTTCTTGGTTGTTGTATATCCACACAAGAAGGGTCGGGCGTTACTTACTGGGGGAAGCAGTATGGGCGAGGCATTTATAGACTTGTTTCCCAAGGAGTCGAACCCCTGCAACGACTTTTTAGACTTTGTCAAGGGGCAAGTCGCGCTGTCCAAGGTCTTGGGGTCGGAGGCACCTCTTCCAAAGAAGGTAAGGAAACCAAGGGTTGCAAAGAACCGTATGGAGAACTCTCAATATGATAAAGGTAAGTCTTGTGAACTATGCCTCTTATGATTTGTACATATCCACTCAATTGACTACATTCAATAGGTACCTTGGAAGCTAATGTGACAGCTGTGCGCGAGCAGCTTGGATATGCTATTTGTGAGTGTGTTTCTACGTACAGCTCATAAACCTTACCTCTAACCAACACTTCTTTGGTGTATCTAGATAAAGTGACCAAAGGAGTTCGGCAGAATGGATGGCCCGGTTCCAACACTCTTGCAACATTGAAGAAGTTGAATGTCGTGCTACAAGTCCGCGAAAACCCCTTGAAAGTAACTGTCGACGAATTCTGCAAGCCACCGTCCAACATGGTGATTGGAGAGACTCAACGTATCCTCACTGCAATTGGAGAAGGCTGGGTGGAACTTTTGGGCCCCTCTCCTCCGACTCCTCCGAATACGACTTCTGATTTGGGTGCAGATCGCGAAGACGGAGGGCCGAGCAGGCCGTCTGTACAGGTTGGACCTGTTCCACCTGGTGAAGAACTTCAAAACCGAAAAGCAGCCAAGTCAAAGGTCTCTAAACCCAAAGCCACAAAACCAACAGCCAAAAAAACGGCAGCCAGTCGTCAGAACACCAGTCAAAGTGGCGAGGCAGACAATGCGAAGAAATCAACCAAAAAAACGACTGCAGGTGGTAGTAAGCAGAAGCTGCCTCGGAAGAAACGCCAAGAACCCGTCAGCTCCTCATCGGAAGAAGACGTAGAAACATCTATGGAAGAACCTAGTGAACATACACCTACCGAAGAATCGAGTGATGAAGAAGAATGTGATGGGAACATGTTGGAGGAAGCAGATGTTGTTCTGGAAAAATCTAGACAAAGTCAAGTGGTCTCAACTAGAATAGGATCGTCGCGAAACCTTGGACAAAAACAAAAACAGTCGAGCAACGTTCGAAAAGGAAACCCTTTCTTAAACCAAAACAAGCGGCCATCTATACAAAAGCGAAAGAGACGCGCTCACATCTCGGTAGGCGATTCTGATGGGTCCGACGGGATAGCAGAAGGTGATAACAGTCAAGTTCAGGGTGACCAAGTCATCCGGAAAGGCAAGGGGGGTCCTTTCAAAAATGGGAGGAGGCCTAAAAAAGTTCAAAAGGTGGCAATTCCCAATGATGAAGAATCATAAGATTTTTTTGATTTTTTTCTTCTTCTGTTCTGCTTCTTTTTTTTCTGTTTGGTGTCTCTTTTTTTTACTCAGTCAGTCTTGCCACCTGTCCTATTTTTTCTCATCTGATCTGTGTCTCCTATCTGTTCTCATGTCATCTGTGTCTCTCTCAAAAGTCTTGTCTTTTACATCATACTTGGTTATCTCATTAGTTTGGCAAAAAAATACATACAAAACCCAACAAAAAAGAAGAGAAATATATTAACAACATGTGAGGTGGTGACAATCTTCATCTAGCCGGAGTAAGCCGGGTGTGTGTGTGGGGTGTGTGTGTGTGGAGTGCAGCAATGAAGGAAGTGAGGTCAGTCCCTGGCTTGGTATGCATGTTGGTGGCTGGGCGGGAGGTAGGCCTGGAGTATGCCAGGTGTTGGGTGGTTGGTTGCTCACTTGGTATCGGGAGGGAGCTGGGGAGCTGGGGGTGTAAGCAGCCGGCCGGGACTTGGGAGGGGTGTACATGTAGGGTGCCGGGCAGATTGGCTATGTGCATATTTAGGTTGGCTATAGCCGGAGTGTGCTGACCGGATGAGATGTTGAGGCGGCTCAGTCGGGGAGCAGTTGGGTGGAGCGGGGTTGGCATGGTCGGGAGAGGGGACTTAGAGAATTGAAGTGGGATGGGGTCTGGAGGGAGGTTGACTGGACCCCAAATTGAAGGGGGAGGGGGGAACACAGGGAGGATATTTTTTTTGGTGGGAAAACTGTACTGTAGCATGCTTTATTTCGTTGTTTTATCTTGTGTTTGAGTATGGTAGTTTGGGTTTCCCACAGGTGAATTAACCATTCAAGTCCACATGAAGTTCACTGTACATCTCTGTTGGTGATTCCATAGAAACACGAAAATGGAAAAACTGTACAAAGGTATTTCATACTGATCTGCCATCGCATATACGTACAATCACTTATCATTCCGATGTGACCGAGTGCCAGGAACCTCCGGGAGCCGGACCGGGTTATGTATTCAAATGTGTATCTTCCTGCGACCGCCACCGATGCCACGAGGCTGTATGTCAACTGACCCCAATGTGGAGTTTTTACTAGTGAATGAAGGTGCGCTGCAACCAATTAGTCCCGGGGTGTAGGTCCGTTCTAGGCAAGGTGATAGGCCTCGGCATTTCTGTGGCCATTCGTGACCTTTGAGAAGGCTGCGTTGTATGTAACATGGGATCACTAGGCTCAATTTTATGTCTACAACAGATATCTGAGCTCGAGAGGGGTACATATTGCCTCGAGAGATTCATTTGGCGAGCAAGGCGCTCATGATCATGTTTTGCTGAACAGAGGGCGTACACGTGCGCAAAGCAATGCGCCCCACCCCCACAAAGTGTGTTCTATCTATAACAACCTGAAGCCGATTGAAGCTCATCTGAGATCTTGCTATCAGTTGTGACAGGTTGTGCATTACCAATGCCAGATAGATGGCTTCTAAATAGGGGCATGCAGAACGCGGAGTGCTAGATTCCGGGAGGTTCCGGGTGCATCATGAGATGCGGTAAAACGTTGGACTAAGGAACGTCGAACTGGGAAAAGTTTAACTGGAGGAAACGTTTAACCAACAGAGGAAATTTCGACAATAAATTTACATCACAAAATAAAATAAAATAAAAGAAACTTGAATCGAAATATTGCTATGTATAACCAAAGCAAGAAATGAAAAAAATAACATATTAAAATCTACCCCAATTATCTAACTGTTTGTGGAATTAATTGTCCCGCTTATTTCATTAATCAATACAGTAGTGCCTTCACGTCCTGCTTTATAGGATACCGTTGGTGGTCGGATATTCTTCATCCCAGTTGATACTGTCATTATCTGGGGGCAAGTGTAATACGATGCCATGGGCCCTCAGGTGCTGACTAAGTGGAGTCCAAACTTTCAAATACCGACGGATCAGATTCATAAACTTGCTGATTTTAAAGCAAAAATTGTCACTAACTACGCGCTCCTCCAGGAAACTCGCCATACTCGACAATATCGAAAGGATCCGTCATAGTGGTCGCAATCACTCTAGTTTGTCTGATTCGGCCGCAGTCAGCGTGCAAAAATTTCAGTAGTAGTTCCAAACTTCAATCAAGGCGCTGATGGTACTTTTTTCGAGTGAACTAGAAAAAAGTAGTCATGGAAGCATGAGTAAGAAGTACAGAAAAAGATTTATTTACCCAATCTCGTATAGGATGACGCGTAGCCGAAAGACTCCACAGTCTCGGATCATGATTTCTTGGAAAACAAAGAGTGGATCAATTTGGTTTGGATCCTCCATGGAGGGAACAAATTGACACCTGACCGGCTGTAATCGAAACATTAGCGTGTCTGGAAGTCGGACTGCCCCCGTGCTGTCGTACAGCTGAAGGGTACATTCATATTGCTCGAAGGGAACACTTTGAAGAAACAGATGAATATAAGAATGTTCAGAATATCAACCGTTAAAATGAATGGAACTTGGCTAACCTATTTGTGTCAAACCCATCCGGAACTTCCCCTCTCGCTACGAGACATGGCATGACGGGGGTTTGACCTGTTCCCCCAGGGAACCTCCCTTCATCTAGTCGTATGCCGCGCGCCAGGTGTTGCAGGATATTGAACCTTGGACTACTCAAGATTTGAATCAGTTGAATTTCCACAGGTAGGAGTCAGGTCAGAAAAAAAAACCTCCATGGTTGAAGAAGATTGAAATAGCTTACAATTCATTTGCCATTTTAATCTCGGGTTATCGCACGCGACGATGAATTTTTGATAGATAATCGATAAGAAATGAAATTAGTTTCCCAATTCCTTCTTTGATCCAACGATTCAATGAATGTAAGTGGCCTAGATAAAAACACGAAGGGGGTGTTCGAAATAGTCAGACATTCATGAATCAACGCAACGGCGACTCTTCACGTTAGCGCATATGTATTGATCAGATGAGTAACATTGAAAACAAATAAATAAATGAAAACAATGGGTAGAAAATAAACGTCATGCTTTTGGCTTGACTGAAAGCAGGAGAGGCTTACCTTTTTGTGAAATGTGTTAGTGATGAAGCTACGCGCGTGTGGAATGAGAGGGGAAAGATTCAAAAACGGATCTACCAAATATAACCTAAGACCAATACGCTAAAGAATAATGAATGGTGTGGTGTACATCTGAAATTTGTAAAGGATACAATCTTGGAGATATATGATGGAATTTTCTTTCCAGAAAAACTAGAGGTGAATTCCAATTGACCAGCGTACCTTTAGGTGACGCTAGGGCTTATGAAGATTGCGGAAGGTAAAGTGCGGTTGGATTGTGAATAGACGCAATACACCCAACGAGAAAAAAAATAATCAAAAAACTACAATTGTTATCATCAATCAGAAATTCAATCAACCATCTCACACAATTATTATTAATAATGAAGATACAATTACCCAAATCAAAGCCTCGCCAGCGGCATCTATCTGTGCCTTTTTTTGTAATAGAACTTCGAAATCGCTTTGATGAGTGGCGCATCAGCCTGAGGAATGTCGCAGTTGGGAACTTGGATCCGAAAATTAGCGGGAAGATCACCGAGGACGAATGTAGAGGGTGCTGATCTTTTGGCGAAGAAGCAGATACGTACACGCTCTACTGGAGATCGATCACAACAGATAACCAAAGCCAGCCAGTATTATGTGCTCCTGTACGTAACGTATCTCAGATGAGAACCCGCTTCTCACGCGCCCCGTACGGCGTCGTCTGGAAACAGTCTGAAGTGGTCTGGCGCTGATTGCGATCTTGCCATTTATGAGCACTTTGTCAAGGACGGGGCCTGAAAAGCTGAAGAGCAATCCAACTTAAGCCAAGAGAGGAGAGGCAGGCTCTGATCTAACCTTTTTTTCAGACTTTTCAGAGTCAAAGCACTTTGGCTCCAAATAATTAGACAACTTCAAGTTCAACTAAAACGCATGGACAGGTTGCCATTCAACCGAGCCAAGCCACAAAAAATGAACCTGAATCGATTTGCACAAGAAATTATCCAATGACGAGCTATGATGTTGTGCTTCTTAACGCAGACCTATTTGAACACGCGCCCGGCAGGAGTCGCCACAGGGTGAGCCATGTTGAGAGGTGTTGGTACTTCTGCGGAGAATCTTCAATGGGCACCCCGCGGGTCACCATTCCTGTAAGTCAGAGGCCATGCTGAACCTCTGATCCCGGAGCTCAGGCTTTGAAAAAAACAAAAAAACAATTCGGCATCATGTCCGGCGTGAGGCTGGTCGGAAATCCCTGCATTGAATAAATCAAGTTGGTTAAAAAATTTCAACAAGCGCAAAAAGTGGAGATTGCTATAATTGTCATGGGAGTATAGGAGGCAGACGTCAGTTTCTCTTCAGAATATGTATACCCCCATCAACCTGGAGATCTCCAGTCGATTCAAGCCTATTCTGGCCTATGCAAGCTGTGAATCCGGATATTCAGAGTCTTAATTCTGACAAATGAAAAATGCAATAGCGTCTTCACCCGTGCCAGTGGCTAGGCAGCAGGCTCGCGCAGCCCAAAGGCCTTCACCACCATACCACAAAAGGTGGTGCAAATGGCTGACTGAACATTCTGTGAGATGTCATTTTGGCTAAACACTAACTCCATGTAGCACCGTTTAGCTGAGGATCTAGGATCTAACTACGAGATACATTACAGTGTGTATGTAGACAAATGTTTCGACTATCCCGATGATTATTCACTTTTGAAACAAAGCACCAGGAGCCAAATTTGGGACCTTGGGGTCTCCATCCAAGATTACCTCTGTGTCTGTATTTCCTGAAGGTTGCAGCAATGATGAGCTTTCAGAATGAGCTCTCACCTTGGTTGCCTCTCAAGGTGGTTCTGATTGTATCAAAAACAATTTTGTTTGCAAAGGAAATTCCCAGCAAAATCAGAATTTCAGTCCTTTGAAATTCACCATCTGTTATAATTATTACACTGGTTGAAAATGAACATGAGATCATATGAGTCCTTAAAGGTGAGAACAGAACTGAAGGACTTAAAAGGTTATGCTAGGAAGATTTATGTGAGGACAATATTACTAGCTTGCAATACGCCTCACCAAGATCACTTCCCTTGATTCCATCTTGATGACTTCAGTATGGATTCCAATGATATCCACATTAAAGCCTCAGAAAGAAATACAAACCTTGAATGGCTTCCTATTGAGGAGGGATCAATAGGTTTCTATCTCTTGAATCAGCTTCCTGATTTTTCCACCCCACAAAGCAACCTCCTACATGAGAATAGAGCATAGGGTTTACAGCGCCACCCCTAGGTGTGTGCCAATGACATGTGCAAGCGCCATGCACACACACATCAGGCACCCAAAAAGTGTCAAAAAGGGAGGATGTGTTCACTTGCTCACCCATCTCAATTTGAATGATGAGCCCAGAGGGTCTACATCATTACACTAAAAGTAATGCTAGTGTATCCATTGTTGATGGGAGTAAGAAATTATTTTGCTACACTTTCAGCTAAACTCTGAGTCAAATGTTGGATGGTTATTTAGTATAAGTGAGATATTTTTGGAGGGATATTTTCTATTTGTAATTGGCAGGCAATTCTGGAACCCAAACCCAAAGCATTTTTCCTTATTCTGAATTGGCCAATGGATTGACAGCTTAAATATTCTTCATCCACAATTGGTTGTACATTTTTTCCATGTATTCCTGTTAATGGCACCCAAAATATGTGAAAGTAATTTTGAGTTACAAGGATTGAAGCCAACAAATTCTCATGGTCCACATCAAAAATGGGTCAGTTATCCATAGCATGAGTGCATCAAAATTCTACTAAAAACATACTAGATCAGTGGAATTCTTCCACATCTTCACTAACAATACCTGCACAGGCCACCAAAATTTGCCCGCTTGCTGCGCTAACGCACTGGTTAGTGGAATTTTGGCCCTGTAGTGGTTGTGAGAAGTCTGTAGCACATTGTAAAAACCGTTAACATGTGAATGAATAGACTAAAAGTTTGTATTTCATAAGTGCCTGCTAAGAAATACAAAGTAGAAAAAGAAGAAGAAAGAAGAACAATAGTCACCTAAAAGCAGTAGATGGCTAATAAGAAGAACAAAAATATGTCTTGATACTATAACAAGAGAATGATAAAGAGAAAGCTAACAAAGGAGAGTAGGCTAATATCAGAACAACAATGAGAAGAGACCAATGAGAACCTACAATGATTGAGGACAGGTTTCAGAAAAGAAGTGGTTGCCAATGTTGTTGAATGGAAGGGATCAATTTGATTCAAAGATCAAAGAGGATGAATGACAAGAATAGAAGGGAATTGTTTGATACAAGGATCAAAGAGGATGAATGGCAATGAAAGACGAGATAATATGTTTTGTCTTTAGGAGAATAGGACAAGTGATGATGTGAAACGAGGATAATGATTCAGGAAGCGGTCAAATAGAAAGTTTGACTATGGAGGAACAAATGGAATTTGATGAGGTCCTGCAGGAGAAGAATAGATGACAAGAGAAGAGATGATAAAGGAAAGAAGAATTGGGACAGCGCACGATAGCAATGACAATCACAAAGGTGAATGAGAGGGTTCAAAATTCAAGCGCAATGATGTCATTGCAGAGGCTTGATTGATTTTAGAGTTCAGGCGCAATGATGTCATGAGTATTTTGATCTTGAGTAAGAAAGTGTTTTAATTTTAGGGAAATTATGAGCTGAAGCTTAGACCTCAACATAACACTATGCAAGTTCTGTGTAGAAAAAAAAACCACTACAATAAGGCTTTTTTGGCAAAACGCACAGCGCAGTGTAGCATCCCATGATCAACACTGGATCTATATGTTACAGTTATTGGTATAGTATTGTTATAGTATATATATTTCCAACTTTACTATAAAGGGTGTGGTTATGGTCTGATTTTCAGGGACCTTTACTATAACTGAGGAGAACAGGAAATTCTTTTGGATGATTTACTCTACTATAAACTGCCCTGGATGCTGCTAAAACCATCTAAGACTACTCATGAGATTCCCTTGACCACAGAAGGGCTCTCTGGAGCTCATAGATACACTTCATGGCTGATAAAGCCAAGGCCCTTACAATATATTTGAATTTTGGAGCCACAAAAATTGGTCTATACTCTACCAAGCTTGGTGGGAAACTCACAGGTTAGAGTATTGGTATATTAAATAGACATTTGAGGAAACTTTACTATACTGCAAAGGGCCAGTTATAGTAAATTATAGTATAGACCCTGTGTTGATTCCACCATTGTCCTCATTTCTAGGATTTTCTGATATCTAATGTCACAAAATGGTCTCATAACTATATGCTATGCCAATATTATTTTAAACCATAAAAAATCGCAATGGTATGCTTCTCCTATGCCTACAAAGGCCACACACATACTGGCAGGTCTGGCAGCACCTTTTGGCATGCACTGGCACCTTCAAACCTAATGGGGCAGAAATTCCACAAAAAAAGTGGCAATCTTTTTGATTGTTGAATTTATTGGCTTCCAAAAACCACTTGGAAAGTTCAGTGGCCCTGAATTTTATTGATTTTTTTTTTCATTTTTATAAGTTTTTTGCAGGCTATTTGGATTTTAGTTTCCACTGCATATCCTTCCCAGAATTGGTGGCCATCTTTTTGATCCCAAGGGTATTCTTGCTCTGCTCCCCCTATATCTGAGGGATACATTTTCTTATGATTCAATATTCCTTTAAATCTTACCAACTATCTTCAAAAAAACCTCAGATAGATGATATTTGTTGATAAAATAATGCACCAGTAATCACAGCCTTTAGAATCCAAAACAAAAATGAGATGCCTATAGATCTTGCTAGCTCGAGAGACCTTTCATATCTTTCAAAGTACAGTTTGGAACATTGCACACTGATCTATTGAACACCATAGTGTATGTATTCCTTCAAATGGACAGGGCTTTCAAACCAAGGGAAATTTCATGAAGAAGCTTTCTTTGTGAGAGATGTGTGGTTCCAGCTCTACTCAGCAGCAGCTCAGCAGTTCCTACACCACCGGGCGTGGTGGATGGCATTTGGACACCCAATCGGATGTACCAGATGCCATCCGACCTTGGCCCTGCAAGGAGCATCCATTGGATGCGACTTGCATATTGCTGAACCCGGATGGTAGGGCCAAACCATCCATCGGATGGTAGGATTAGAAGCCCTTGGGGGCAAAAATGCCAGGCCTGGGTTTGAACCCATGACCTCCAGGTGGTGGCACCAGTAACTCCACAGAGGCTGTACTTTGCCACTCGACTATACTAGATTCTTGATATTCCACTGGTCAGAGAGTCAACTACATACCCCGCGCTGCATTTTTGGATCGTTTTTCGACCATCGACCACCTTTTGAATAATTTTTCGACAATCGACCCTTTTTTTTCCACTGCCGGACCCGGGTGAAAACCATCAATCGGACACTCTGAGAAGTGTCCGATTGATGGTTTTCTTGTTGTCCATCGGACACTCCCAATCAAGTGTCCGATGGACACCGGGCTGTACACCATCCTCTGGATGGTCTCGCCTGCCAAGCATCCCTTGGACGCTTTCTGAAGCGTCCAAATGATGCCAGGCCCGCCCGAGCGTCCGTTGGATGCTTCGCAACCAAGTTGCGGGCGCTCGGGACGGAATCCATCCGTTTGCTGGGGGGTTTTTCTAAAAACCCGCCCCATGGTGTAGATGTGAAAGAGCATCCCTTCACTTGAAATCCGGGAATCGGTTATCGGAGGATGGTCATCAGCTTACATAAGCAGGTGGTGATGACGTCAGGGAGGCCTGAGGTCAGCCACGACCCGGACCATCCAGCAGCTTTTGAGAAAACGGTCAACAAGGAAAATCCCCCCATCAACAAACACACACAACCACACACGCTAACGAGAAAATCAAATGGTCTTCAACAATCTCGTCTATCCTGGTCAGTCAGTCTGCTATAAGATTCTTCATATTTCACAGAAACGAAAATCAAATGAAAACTGATTGCTCTTTCTCAATTTTTTGTCTGGATGTGTAAATAAAGCTCGTAAACATGCGGCCAAAGTGTTCGAGAAACTAATCCTTCAGAACCCGAGTTATCACCGGAACAATCTCCCGGTCATTTATCTGGAGGGATCAGGAATTCAATGTAGAGACGATAGCGACCGGGAGTTACCGTTTCATCAAGAGGCTAATTTTGTCAGTTTCTCAACGGTTTAAATTTCAATTTATACACAGAGAGAAGGTCCTTGAAAGTAAACTGAACCGAGGGAAATTGCTATGAAGATGTATCTCACTGGTGCACACAATATACCAGATGCATCCGTATTAATCTCCATCAGCAAATCCGAAGCAGGAGAATCGTCAAGTCAGGAGACTCAACAGAAGACAATCGACGAGAACGAGATCTCGACGGTACTATTCATACCCAGCGTCGATCCACTACACGTGATGTGGTCAGGCCTACCAGAAACAACTCAGCAAGTCCACGCCCGGTTGGCGGACTTAACGGGGGTGAAATACAAGACGGAGCTTCCGGGCCATCTGAGTACAGTCCAGAAGAGCCAGGCCGGCAGGGTGATCACCTTGCCGACGATCGCACACGAACTAGCCAGTCCGGATCCTAAACTATTAGAGGCGATTCGCGAAGCCAGAGTGATCAAGACCGAGCAGGAGATCGAACTGATTGCACATGCTAACCAGATCTCATCATCTGCTCACACCGCTGTCATGGCTCTCATCCACCATCAAGCCCTCGAGGCCGAGTCTGATGCCGAGATCCTATTCCGAAGCGAATGTCATCGTCGGGGATCCAAGACCCAAGCATACGAGCCAATCTTCGGTACTCCTCCACCTCTCCATCCATCATCATCCATTCATCATCAGCCGTGACAACGAAATTATCACCAACAAAAATAAAGGCTGAAATCCTCTCCCATTTAACTATCATTTTAGGTTACGGCGTCCATGCAGGAACCTTACATTACACTGCCAACGACGCGAAGATCCCCTCGGATTTTGCAGGCGTCTTGTTGGTTGATGCCGGCTGCGAAACATACGGATACGCATCCGATATCACGCGCACTTTGCCGGTCGGGAATCGGGGAAAATTTACTCCCGAGGCTAAGGATATCTACCTGATCGTCCTGGATATGCAAGAGGTTCTTTATCATTTTTGCTTTCTATCTCTCTCTCCTTTCTTCTCCACAATCTCCCAGAAGAAGCTGTGCCTTGTTTTCCTCGGATTGATGAAAGTTTAATTTGTTGGAAAATAAGGCGGCTCTCAAGACGATTAAAGCAGGCATCGAATGGCAAGAGATCCAAGTCTTGATGTAAGTGAATTGATGATACCATCAAGTTCACCTTACCAAGGAGGAAAAAGGAACAAACAAGAATAGAAATTGATTTTCTTTGAATGTATTTTTGTGAGGTGATACTAGGCATAAAGTAGCAGCCAAAGGCCTGCTGAAACTGGGGATCTTACGAAACCTGACGGTTGATGAATGCTACGAAAACGGACATGTGATCCCATTCTTCCCCCACGGAGTGGGGCATTTTCTTGGATTGGATGTAGGTCTTGTTCTCTCTCTTTCTTTATCTCTGCCCAAGGTAGAAAAAAAAGGTTCGAAAGTGAATTGTTTGGATTTTTTTTCTTCAATAGACTCACGATGTTGGCGGGTTCCCTCACGGAAAAGGCACGCATCCGACCCTCAAATATCTCAGATTGCAGAGACGATTGGAGGTGGGAAACGTGGTGACCGTCGAAGTAGGTGGAGGTTTACCCTACAGCTGACTGATTCAAGAAACTTTTATCGATTTTTTTTGAAAAAACTGATGATGATCATGGATTATAACAAATCAGCCCGGCCTGTATTTCAATCAATTCTTGTTGGATCCCGTCAAAGGATCTGAACACATTAACCATGAAGTCTTACTCAAGTACTTGAAAGTAGGCGGGATTCGAATCGAAGATAAGTAAGTCTTAGAAAAAATGATCAGAAAAAATGAGTTTCTTCTCTTCTCTCCAAAAAACAAGAAAAAGAAAAACTGAAAGTGAGGGTTATGTAACTTTGTTCTTCAATGACAGTGTTGTGGTTACAGAAACGGGATGTAAGAATTTAACGCAAGTAGTCAAGACGATCGAAGAGATCGAGAAACTCACTAGCTATTAAGGCTTCCTAGATCACTCGATCATCCAACAAACCTCCCTTGCATTGTAATAACACTATTTTTTTTTCCAAGTCACACAATTTAACATTGCTCAAATTATAACAGAAGTGTTTTTTTTTGTTTCGTATGGTGTTTGTTATTGGGTACGTCTTTGATTCAGAATCTTCAGTTCACTCTGCATTGCATAAATCACTCAAAAACTTATGACTTATTGACATAGTCAAGGAAATCATGATGTTTTTTTTTTTTTTTTTTTTTTTTTTTTGATGTAATAAAATATGCACATCAATCATTTTTTTGGGGGGGTTGGAATGAGGTGACAATACAACATCACGAGTCTTCAGTTCATGGCATATAGTTATGTATGATAGAATCAAACCTGAATAGACTGGAGGAGACAGTGGTGCTAGCTTGACGGCCGACTGTCTCACTCACTATCTGTAAAATGCGAAGCTATTGCCCTCCTCGGTCTTGATGAATCCACTCGGAATTATTACTGTGGGTGATCGCATAAGCTTATGTTGCATTCTTGTAAGGGTTTTTTGTGAAAAAGATTTAGTTTTTTTTTTTGACTTGGGAGAAGAATGATTGCAGGTTGGCTGTGCTAGTATATAGTTCAAGTAGGTAAGAGATGGAAATTTGGATAGGTTTACATTGTATGTGGCTAGATTGATACTGGATGACTTCCCGTCAACATCTGCAGGTCTCCCAGTTTCCATTTAGAGCCGAAAAAGCTAGATTTCCCTGCGAAAATCTAGACTTTTTGAGTCTAAATCGACAACTGCGAGGGTCCCAGATCCGACGGGAAGTCCTCCACTGATAGGTATATATATGTATATTAATGTGTAAGGGTATATCGACGAACGTGATGATTACGATAAAATAACAGGGGACCAAATTCAATGGCACATCTAAAGAACAGTAATCATAGAGGAAGAAACCCAAGAATATGGATCCATTTTTTTAGTCAGAAGAAGGAGAGGCAGGCGGCGGAAGATTATCGAAATCCAGAATAGCTTGTAAGAGAGAAGCAGGATTAGGTTTGTCGGGGACGACGATCGGAAAGGAGTGATAATAATGGCTAGCCAGGAAGGTGGCGGTCGTTGCGCCGATAGCGGCGACCTTGAAAGCATCCAAATGGAACAGAAGACCTGGCTCCTCATTCTCCTCGTTTGAAAGGATTTGGTGATCGGAGGAGGATCGATGGGGATGGAGGGAGGCGAATTTGCGCTTGATTTGGAGCAGCAGATCGTTGGTGTTATCCAAGAGGATCCGGCTCGAGTTGGGGCTGAAGAAGACGAGCCAATGATCCCGCCGTTGGTTTCCCGACCGTTGTCTGAGAAGCCCCAGTTCTTGCGCGATCTCCTCCTCGAGACGATCACGATCCTCCTCCTCTTTCCGTCTCTCTTCCTCCTCCTCTGTCCCTCGATCATCCGTCTGGTCAGTCGATGTATTGCGAGTAACAAAGAGCTCTGGGGGCTCGAAACGTGGCTCGGTTTCGGGCTCGATCGAGTACACCCTTTGGCTCACTAACTCGTATCTGATCCGGCCCCTCTGATCTCCCTCTCCATCATCGTTTTCTTGGTTGTTGTTGTGCTTGGATAGGTTTTCACTGAGACTGGAGTCTTGATGGCTCCCGACCAAATACAGCAATCGGACCGTCGTCGTCATATTCTCCAGACCTTCAGTCTTAGGATCAGCATCACCATCTTTCCTTCTCTCCTCCGTATCGTAAGATTGTTGGCCTCCAGATCGTCGGTGTATACTAGAGAAATGAGTCTTGATAAATTCGGCCAGTTTGTGTCCCGAGCCAGCTTCGTTGTGGCCCAAAATGGTGATCTGGCCGTTCTTGGGATCAGGGAATATGTGCGGATTGTTGAAGGTATTGAGGGCGAGCAAAGCAAGACGAGTGCTAGTGCCAACGACGAAGAAAGGGACGGCTCCCCAATCAGAAGAAGAAGAAGCGGCATCTTGATCGTCGGTCGATTCGTGATGGATTTGATTGATGGCCAGTTGGAGAGAGTCGACGGATCGGGCACTTGTGAGCACCACCCCATCCACCTTCATCCCTCGCGCCCCCGTCCTCAGCGTCCCACTCAACTCCCCTAGCTCTGCCGAGGAAACCCTCGTCCTCAGGATCGAGATGAAGATCGGCTCGTAGGCGCCCGTCGAGCCGAACGTCTTCGTGTACTCATCCTCCTGGTATCCCGTCGACTCATTCGGCGTCTTAATCAAAATTATCTTCTGCTTCTTCTTCGTCTTGTCCACCTCCTCTTGGGATGAACCGTCCATAATGTCTTGCGATATCTAACTCAAAATTCCAAAGAATTGATATTAATTGACATGTAGATCCAATTCGTATAGGCTAAAGAAATCGACCGAAACACTCACACGAAATTTTCGTTTCGTTTCGTCTTTTTGGCTGATATACTATACTAAGCTTGCGATCCAGTTGCTGACTTCCATCCCCAACATCAAGGTGTATGCTGTTTGGGCTGAAGCTCCGTCTGCATGGTTATTGGCCAAGGGCATCGGCATCGGCCGCCGGCCCACCAGGGTCCAGGCCGGTCAAGCGCCCCCCGGTCACCCCCGATAGGGGAGATCGGGTTCCCCACATCCCTTGCAGATTATTCACTCACTGTGCTGTCTTTTCATCGGTTCACCTATTACAACATGTGGTGTTTTTTTTAAAAAAAAAACCCTGGCAATTGGATGGATTCCTGATTGCCTGGAAGATGCTTTCAAACCATCCAACAGACAATTGGGCTCGCCAGACATCACTTGGACGCTTCAGAGACGTTCCGCAGGCTAGACCATTCAGAGGATGTCAGAGAGCCCATGGTCCCTTAATTGAGTGCCCAATGGACAAAAAAAAACCGTCAATTGGACACTCTCAGGAGTGTCCAATTGAGGGTTTTCACATAGGTCCGGCCATCACACAAAAGGTGGTCCATTGTCAAAAACTTAGCTTGGAGGGTGGTTGATGGTCCAAAAAACCATCATGAAATGCAACAGGGGGTTATTTATGAATTTTTGGGCCATGAAACATTGAGTTTTATAGTACAGTGGCACAGCCCACAAACAGATGACAAAACACAGTGACATTTTTTCTCACATAACTGCACCAGTAGCCGCAGTGACTGTGGGCAATTATCCACAAAAACATCACTGTGACACAATAAAGTTTTGTCACCTCTTTGTGGGCTGTTGGAAAGTTGGCTGGAATCATGGTGCACAGGAGGTAGATCAGGGGCTGAATCCTGGCTGCCTGCTGCTTTTGATGCCCAGGAGCTTCCAAGCTACCATTCATTGGATGGTTTGGCCTGACCAAGTGTCAGACACTGAGGCTGTAGCCCATGTGTCTACAACCTATACTTAACCAACAAACACATGTACTGTAGTTTATTGGTTAAGGACTGTGTTATGACTTTGCCTCACCAACACACTTGGGTTCAAATCCCAATTATGTAATCTTATATTTTTATTATTTTATTTTTATACTTTTATGCTTTAAGTAATTCCACGGAATTACTTAAGTATTCACCTCTGTATTAATATTCATATTTTATATACATACAATTTGAAATCTTAATCATCTCTCTATACTCTGTAATTAGAGAGATGACATCATTCTTTCTCCTTTGAGCTTGAATGACATCATTCCCTCCACTTTTGGTTTAAAACTTAATTTAAATGCATATTTTGATCATTTATGATTATATACATAAATGATCCTCTGCAGGCCTCACCGGTCTCACAGGCAGGCTGACCCCTGCCTTTGTAATACTTAAGGGGGAGGTCTTCTTCCCAAGAATCCTCCCCCCAGTTATTACCATACAAACCCGTCTACCTTACAATACAAACTGTGAGTGGGGTTTAAATCTACTATCAAAACCTTCTAAAAACCTTCCCTACCTTATTCTATTCCGTACCAATTTCCTAGACTACTGTAAAGTCACTACAGTAGCCTAGAAGAGAGAATACTTAGCTCTAAGCCCGGCGACGCGAAGCTCATACCGCGTACGTCCCCTTACTAAGGGTGCTTAACCCCTCCGCTTACTAGCGTCAAGGTGAGGTTCCTTTTCTACTGGCTTTCACACGAAAGCTATAGTACGACCCTTTCCACCCCATCAACGCCTAGTCACTCTAGAGACCGGCGCTGACAATTGGGGGTCTGGCCGTTTTGTCTTTCGGAGACCACTCCAAACCACTTCTAATATCGATTTTTTTTATCAACACTGTTTTTTTTTCGGAATAAGTCCCTTCAGTACTCGCATTGCATTAGCAGTCAAGTCGGACGATTATTGACCCTATCCAGCGAGAAACCTTTTTTTTTGTCGCCTGCGTCGTTTTTTGATATTTCTCAAAGACCACCCAGACTAACATCCTGACTTTTTTCGTTCTTCGTTTAGTCGCGACAGAAATTACACCGACATTGACTCCGCTTTTTTAGTGTGTTCAGCTTACCAATAATCTGTCAGTTCTATCAGAACTTTATCGGCTATTCTCCTTCAGTTTAACTGAATCAAGATCTCACAACTAACATTGTTTTGTTTTCGTCTGGCTCGCTTTTGATTTTTTTTTTCAGTTCTGTCGATTACTCCAGCGAAAAGTGGTGATCCGACGTCTACAAAAATAAGGGACTGTAATTTGATCAGTCAGTAGTTTTTTTCATTTTAGATTTTATTGAGCATTTTAGCTTGTTTTCTTACGATCTTCTTTCCTCCGAAGTGTCTACTCCTTCGAACGTTTCTACCGCCAAGGATTCTAAGGCTAAGCAAGCTCCGGCCGCAGAACAGACCATCGCAGCTCAACCGATAAGAGCTCCCAAGAAGTCTAACACAAAAATCCCAAAAAAAGCGAAGAAACCGATCAGCCCAGAAATTGTGCCGTCCGAGTGGGACACGAGCTCAGACGAAGCAACGAAGTCAGATAAGCCTAAACCAACGTCTTCAATCGCACCAGGTTTAAAAAAGTCCTCTACGACCTCCGATCCGTTTAAAGGCAATAAACCAATCGAAAAACTCATCGGTAGCGAAATCTTGAAGAATATTAGCATCAAGAAGTCCGTACCTCAAGAAGCATCGACCACTGTTGCCGTTCCGATCGTTCATGCAGCAGAACCGGTCAAGCTAGTCGAGAAACAACATCCGAACGCATCCCACCATCCAGTCGATTCCAGTACTGCCCAGACGGTGATTCACCAAACTCCAGTCTCATCAATTCCTCCTTCTCTCCCGAAGATTTCGAGTGACGCTGCAGTCCAGAAGAAACTCGAAAATTATTTTGTTCCCCAAGGGAGGACTACTCGATCAATCTCGTCTTCATCCTCAGTTCTGCCAAGCGGTTCTTTCACAACCGAGCCTTACGAACCCGCTGATAGCAGCGATTTAGATATTATTACAGGTTAGCAGTGGCAATAATACTACCGTGATATTGCTTCAGCCGTTGATTTTGTCTTTTCGTTATGTCCAAAACCAGGAGCCACCGCCCAACTCTGGTCGAAGCCCAAGACTTCAAAGGAGCCCCAAGAGGACGACATTCTACAAAAGTATCGCCCGTCGTTTCATCCTCTTCTTCAAACAGTGAAGTTACAACGGGAATACTACCAGAAGGCGATAGAGACGAAGGACGAGGACTTGAAGATAGTGGCTTTGAGAGCCGCTTCGTCAGCTCAGTCCGATCTACTCAGGGCGATGAATCAAGAAGAATTCCTGAACTTGTTCAACAGGTGGGACCCGATAGCGGAGTACCAAGATTATCTGACCGGCCAAGCGGGCCGAAACTATTGGAGGAAGGAAGGGGTAGCAGTGACCCCCTCGCCATCGCCAGAGGTAGAGATGAGACCTCCGGAATCGGTTCAAAGGAACCAGACGACCTACTCAGTAAACCAACATCAAGAGCCGATGAACGTTCACTACCCGGTAAGGCACCCTCCTCCGTCAGCGAATTTACGACAGTACGAACATTACCGGAACTCTCCAAACAACCCAGAGACCACTCAGGGTTACCAGCAGCACCCCGTGGTAGCCCACCACCGTCCTTCCAGTGCGAACAACCGCAGTCGCAATCGCAACCGGAACTCGAACAACAGTCGCAACCAAGAGTACAGGGCGGCAAATTTCCACCCGAGGAACTCAAACGGCCCTCGTCATCGCACGAATTCTCAGACAGCGAGAGAAAACCGTCGCATCGCTCATCAAAGATCGATCCATCAAGAAATGATCCGCCTCAACCGTACCACTCAAGCGCAGTACCAAGCGTTAGAAGCGATGCGAGAACAGAACGCAGGGTACGGGAATCGTCGTCAACCCCAAGAGGGAGGGGAGAATCAAAACTTCTAACTGCAGAACAGTTAGTCCCTCTCCTGCAGAATCTTTTTTATTCTATTGAGAAAATTATTGACTGTAATTTTGCTGCTGTCTCTAAACAGATCAGGTCAGAATCCTCCATAGATATTAAGAATCTTTTTAGTCACAAGTTTGACTCCATAGAGCCTCATTTCCGTTCCCTTTCTTTCTCATCTGAAAACACCATTGCTTATCTCAACAAGATTATGAGTTCCCTTTCCCCCATAGAAAAAATTTCAAAAGACACTTTTAAGGACATTTCTCTAGTTAAAGAAAATATTTCTCAAATTTCTACTTTTTCTGTTCCTGCTACAGTTATGAATGAGTTAAAAAATATTCAGGGGAGTTTGAAATCCATTGACAATAGAGAAGATTTATCTCATAAAGCTTTTGATAACTTGTTTTCCCTAGTGTATGATAAATTAGAAGAGAATAGAAAGAAATTAGACCTGTTTTTACAAGACTTTGGAGATAAATTGTCATCCAATGATTTTGGCAAAGTGCCATTTAGTAATCAGCCAAAGGAACCAGTCCAGGATTTGTTCCCTTCTTCCTCCTCTTTAAATATCAAGATTGACAAAGGCAAACAACCAGAGAAATGTCATGATGCCTTTAAGCCCTCTTTGTCTGTCAGCAATGACAATCAAACCTTAGGTAATAATATTTGTTCTTGTCATGCAAAAATTTCAGAATTGAAATTTGAGCATGAATTACTTAAAGAGGTAAATGATAAGTTGGACTATCTTATTGAATTAGGAAATCAACCTGTCTCTGATATTAATTCCAAATTATTAGTGATGGAAAGTAACAATGAGAAAAGATTTAATGCTCTGTTGGAAAAAATTGGTGAGATGAAATGTGTCCCTGGAGTTTCAACATCATATCCTACTGCTTCTAGAAATGAACCAATTTTTTCCACACACAGGAACACAGTTCCCTCTGCTGTTCCAGAAGTGAAACCACATCAGAATGCTTCTTTGAACAACAACCAGGAATTTTTCAAAATTCACAATAAAAGTACTGACCCTGATCCAGGCAGACTTAGTGAATTTTTTGACATTCCAGAGGTTCAACCCAGAGAAACCCCTGTGGCGCCAATCCAGATCTCCCCTGAGTCAAGTAAAGTCATTTTACAAGGTCTGACCAAGATGGAAGCCTGGCC